CACGAATGAGTAGTCAAGTCTTTCCAGATGTGTACGGATTCTATTAGGTTCTATAGTTTCTCTCTGATACACGAGCCGCTTCTGTAGTAGTGAGCAGACTGCTATTACAATCGGTGTCACGTCTACTTACTATGCGCCTAGATGCTTTGCCGCCCACTCGACGTGATCGTCAGCAAATGTGGCCATGAAGTAGTAGCTGTGATCGTAATCGGGCTGCATGCGCAGTTGAATGCCCTTGTCATTGCCAGCTTCCTTGGCTGCCTTGACGAAGTTCTCCGGTAGAAGCTGGCCTTGCTTGTAGAAGTTGTCTCCAGTGCCCTAGCTCAGTTAGTAAAACGATACAAGACTGTCGCATATGAGACGCACCACATCGATGAGCATCTCAAGAGGACCCTTCCATTGCTTGACCAGCTCTGACGCATCATGCTCCTTCCACTTTTGTTGCTGGTCCTCGCCAAAGTATCCCTTGAAAGCTTTCTGGCCCCATGGGCAGTTGATGGGATTGGCGATGGGTGCAAATGCAGAGACGGACTTGTACATGCCGGGGTTCTTGAGGAACTATCAATGGTGGTCAGTCTAGTCCTCCTGGTATGCAAGCAGCTGACCAACCAGTGTCAATGCCCCGTGTCCACCCATACTGTGCCCTGTGATGCTGACTTTGCTGGAATCTAGCTCTTTGAAAGACGAGAACAGCGCTTCGGGGAGCTCTTTGGTGATGTATGAGTACATGTTGTAGCCCTTTGACCATGGCTCCTTGGTGGCATCGACGTAGAAACCTGCGCCTGACCCGAAGTCGTATGACTCGTCTTCACCTTCGATCTGTAGGCCCCCTAGTGAGTGGGTTAGTCAAATGCTCCGCGTATAGTCTCACGGTAGGCACGCACTCGGTGAAGTATCAGGGTACACGACAGCGATGCCATGTTTGGCTGCGCCGTGCTGGAAAAAGCCCTTCTCTGAGCAGTTGTTGCCGGTGCATGTGAGGCCGGAAAGGTAGAAGAGAACTGGGACCTTGGCGCCGGACTTGAGTGCTTGTGGAGGCAGGAACACGTTCAGCTCCATGTCGGTGTTTGTGCTTGAGGACTTGTGCTTCAACTTGAGAAGCTTGCCGCCGAAGGATGCAATGGTGCCTGTGGTTTCGAAAGACATCTTGGACAATGTGGTATAGCAAGAAAAACGAATAGTAGGAGGTTGGAATGCAAACGCAGTTCTAGGGGCCCTTGGAAGTTTTGTGAGCAGGCGCATTGAGTGACGTTGTGCCTGAAATTAGTGCGGGGGACGAATAGCTATGTCGAGCTACCCCACCTCCCTCTAGACCTTTGGCTTGTTACAGAAATCTTATCCGCGGATCCGCACAGGCAACGGACAAGGCTTGGAATTAACGGAGATCGGGTGAGACTCGGGATATAATTGCGCAACCACTTAGAGACTCCTTTCGCCGAAATACCCCATATTTAGCCAAACAAAACTCCATAGCAAATGCAATCAGCCACACCACGCTTCATGTCAGAAGCTCTTCGCAAGTCCAGTCCTCGTAGAAACCATCGGGGAGGTACCGCCGTACAACAAGGGGAATTTTCTTCTCCTGGAGCTCTTTCGCAGCAATTTGCAGAGGATCCGTCATTCCCTCTACGTCGATCAGCACAGGAGCGTTACCACTGCAATCTCATTAGTCCTTGTACATACACCTTCACTCTCAAGGTATTCTACCTGATCTGAAGTGCTCTTGTGCCCAAGACGCGTGCCTTCTCGTACTTTGTCATGTATGGGGTGGTTGTGCGCTTGTCGTTCGGAACCTTCTTGTCCTTTTCGCTTGTAACTGTGTTCTTGGAGGCTTCCTTGGCAGCAGCTGCCGCGTTGGCATCGCCAGATACTACTACGTTGTCGTCGTTGGGTTCGGCATTGTCTGGGTCTTCACCGCCGCCAGGCTGGTCGTCTTCGTCGTCCATCAGATCAGGTTCGGCCTCTTCGTCGAACTCGATGAGGGGCTCGTCACTACTGAAGTTAGAATCGGCGGGACTGTCTCCTACCGTTCCCCTAGCTGATGCGCCCGGTGGAGGAAACCCAGAGATGGAGCTGAACGTACATGTCACCGGCGCCGCCGTCGTAGTCGTCACCGCCATAGTCGGACATGTTTGCAGCAGGTTTATACGCGCGTGTGTGTCTCTGGAAGGGATGCCGAGAGATGGAGAGGTACGCGTGGAGTATGGGGTGTATGCCTGGTGCGATGCGACTGGCAAAGAAAGTTCGCGATCAGAAATCGCAGGGGTCGGCGTCTGCACTAGCGTGGGAAATCTTGGCGGTCGCAAAATACAGTGGAGCTCGACTTTCGTCCATGGTTCTGCGCATCCACGAGCCGCCTTGCAACCACGCGCACGTTGTATGCAATACTATGGCGCCGAAACGGAGGAACACCGAAGACGCTAGTGTGGCGCCGCAGAAGAGGTCTCGCAACAGTACCGTAACCCCGATCACCGTGACGTCGATCCTGAAGGCTAACATTCTCGGAGGTGTTGCGGAGGACACACCCGACCAGGACTATGCGACAGACGACTCTGCTGATTACAAGGTCAATTTCACCGACAACGGCACTTTGAGGGCAGAGAGCGAGGCCCGTCGCCAATGGAACTACGTCTGCCCAACCTGCTCGCAACGCTTCAACCGACCATGTCGCCTCGAGACACACATGCGAAGCCACAACAAGGAGCGACCATTTATCTGTACCGAGCCCGGCTGCAACAAGACGTTCCCTCGTAAAGACCACTTACAGCGTCACCTCAAGAACGCCCATAGCGACCCTGCGACCGAGCGGACATTCACATGCGATTGGACCGGGTGTGGCAAGAGTTTCACCTCCAACGGCAGGCTCCAGAGGCACAGAGACGTCCACGAATCCAAACTCTACTGTACCGACTTCCCCCCGTGCAACGAGGCTTTTAGGAAGGCGAAGGCGTTGGAGGCACATGTCAAGATCCAGCACATGGACGTCAAGCCCTTCACTTGTTCTCACGTGAATCAAGAGACCGGCGAGAAATGCGCGAGTGGCTTTCAGACTGAGGGCGCATTACAACGGCATATGGGCAAGACACATGCAGACATACAAGGGCAGGGCCACTTCTGCGTGCTGTGTGCGACGGCTGGAGTAGACGCGGACACAATGCAGAGCGAGTCTGTTGACACATCCACCATCCCGCCACACTTACCGTCTTTCGCGACAAAAGACGAGCTGAACGTGCACACAGCCGAGTGTCACCCACCTGTATGTACACAGTGCGGTCAGAAGTTCAAGACTGCATCCAATCTCAAGACACACTTCGACACCGTCCATGGGCACCCACAAGACCAAACGCAGTTCCCTTGTCCCAGACTAGGCTGTGAGAGTGTCTTCAATCGGAAACACAACCTCACTGTTCACATTCAGACGGTCCACGACAAGCAGTTCAGGTACTCATGTACCCCCGATGCTCTGCAGAATTCAAAACACCCAGATCTCCAAGCCTGGAACGGAGAGAATGCCTGTGGCGCCTCCTTCAAGGCCAAGTCGTCTCTCGATCAGCATGTTCGGAAAAATCATCTTGGTCTCGGCAACCGCAAGCAGCTCCGGAAGGCCGCAAAGTCAAAGAAGAAGCCGGAGCCTTCGATGCTTACCATGCTTACCGGTGTTGGCTATGAGCAAGGCCGCGAGGTGCCCTGTTTGGTGAAGACGTGCGAGTACCGCTTCTACATAGACCGTGATTTACGCCGTCATCTGCTCGCAGAGCATTATATTCTCGAGGACGAGATCGAAGACATGATACAGGAGCGCGATGCTGTCAGTGGGGGGCAGTTCTGGATTGGTGGGTTCGACGACTCAATGAGCATGTTCGACTCTGCTACGCCCAGCATCCCAGAGACGCCTGCTCCATACCTAATGGAGGGCAACATGCCGATGTTACCATATTCTGACTTGAAGAGCATGGATGGGCAAAATGCTTTATTCGATCAGCAATTCGACCAGCTCTCACTCATGAAGGATGACGCTGAGATGGACATGGCGATGGGGTTGGGTCACCTGCCACCAGCCACAGACGCCCAAGAGAGTTTACAATGGGACATGCTAGCTCCCGTTGAGCAGTACAACAGCGATCTCTCTCGTGGCTAAGACAGCGATGCCTGTCAGAGCTGCCGAATGCAATCGTCTGTGGAAGTTGGTGGAGGTTTTCCCATGCCCGATGTGATGGCCGTCAATGATGTTTTCACGAGTTTCACGAGTTTCACGAGTCAGCAAGATACCCAAATAGTAATTAAATCATGTCAAATACGGGAGCGTCCGATACTTCTGCCATGAACCCCAGATCGCAAACTTCCCCATTCGGCCTGTCAATCATGCCAAGCCGTCGATTCTGGCGAACGGCGTTCGGTCGCTACTCGATCGCCGTAGGGGCGGGGAAAAGCTCCGTAGGATCCAGGCGATCGGGCTGCTAGTCCTAGTCTGCCACACCTTTTCTTCACGCCCAAAGCTATGGTTCACTAGTCGATGAGATTGTATTGGCAGAGACCTTATTCTAGTGTGGGCGCCTGGGCCAGACCAGATCTATGGAAGTATCGTTACATTTATATTTTGGCTTTCCAGAGACGGTGGGTTCAGTGGCTGCAGACTTCATTGTAAATCATCTCATTACAATATAACGTATATCTAGTTATCCAATCAAACAAGATTGGTCTGTTACATATAAGCGGAGCATCTCTCGTGACAACAACATCTAAAAACCGTGTGAAGAAAATGCGTCTTCGCAAAGGTACAAAAAGGGTATAAAGTCGCGAAGATGGAAACCCGCCGATGCCGCAAAGGATGGAGAATGACTGCGCGTCTGAGCATTTGTGTTCAAGTAAACGCCTCGCTACGCTGTAAGATGCTGACGAAAATGGTGGTGCTGCCCAAATCGACGTCAGTGGAACGAACAGATATCGCACAGACGGGAGGTGCGATGTTTCAGAAATCAAGAGCAGCCAAGGCCGTCGCATCATGCCGCGGCCTTGATGTACTGAGCTAGCAAACTTGCTTCGGGTATGGAAATCGTGTGATCTGCTTTGCGAGGTGGCCAGTCTTCGTGTTCGAGTTCTACCGTCAGAGTCGTGTTGTGCTGCGCTTCCCAGTCTCGCCGCCATATTTCAAACCTGAGATCCCACCTTTGTAGAAGCCTCTTTCTTCTTAATTCGATAACGGTCTCAAGCCTTGCCAGCTCCTTCTGATATTCCGCTTCTTTTGCAAACTTCTTTCTCTCGTGCTCAATGCCAAATTGCTGCAGCTCTGCTTCTTGTGCTTCTAGTCTTCGTGCGGTGTCCATCTCTTGCCTTGCTCGTAAGACGTTGATTGCACTCGCGTGTCGTCTGGGAAGATCCTGTTGGATCAATCTTTGGTGGTCCAGCTTCTTCAAGTCTTCCTCCGACACAGCATGCACACGCTCTTGGTTGCTTCTCGTACGTAGGCAATACGCCTCAATATACTTTAGGGCTGTTGCTACGTTCTGTGTCTCTTGAGCTTGTGCTTTCAACAGGTCGTGTTCAGCGAGAAGTTGTCGTTCTTCTAATCGCTCCAGGTCCTCATTGTGCTACATCGCTTGAGTCAGCTGACGTATATCACATCAACACGAATTATACTTACCTGTCCGATCCGTTCGTTCTTATCAATCTCAAGCTGTTCTCCCAATTGTTGCATTGAACAATATTGGTACGCTGACAAGGCTTTTCTTTGGCTGCACTCGAACAGCGAGACACGTGCAAGCTCTTCCTTCTGTTGTGTCCTGTAACTTGCGAAAGCCTCTTTAGCTAACGCCAAGCCGATGCTGATCGCCTCGTGTCGGGTGCGCCTCATTGGAGATTGTGGCAAAGCGGAGGAAATGTCTGAAACTAGAGAGTCAATTATGGGATGGGAACTGTCAGCAGTTGAGGTCACAATTTCGCAATAGTCAGAGTCACGGGAAAGAGGCTCAGGCAGCTCGGTAGCAGTCTCCATAGCGAGCCTCGGGTCGTCTTTTGCTGGGATGCGCTCCAGAATGGATTGCGGCAATGCGATTCCACAGCAATCGGGCGCTACGTGTGCGCCTCTCTTTAATGACTCTTGTATATGTGCGCGAACGTCGGCGTCAGACGATATGTGACCGCATACCAGCTTTGCGCCTCGAGGCCTGCTGTGATATCCGTGGTGCGGCGCGGACGTGGTGCAAGTACTACTAAAAAGACTTAGTAGGAAGCTGTCATAAGTCACTGTCCATAACGTACCCTGAATCCCTTCTGAACATGGAGAAAATGACGGAGCCCCGTTTCTTCCTTGGTTGCGCTTGCTGTGACGAGGCTGAGCTGGAGATGGCGGAAGGTGTGATGGACAGTGTCGATGATTGTCTTGACTGGAAATCAGATTCGGGACGGTCAACAAAGTCTCGAGACTTCTCAACAGGTGACGTAATCTGTGAGCGTGCTGGAGGTACCCTTCTTGTGGTTGAGCCGTCAGTGGAGAAAATGAGGTCTCTGGAAGTTCGGGAAGGCGCGGACGTGAAGCTTGTTGACTGCGTTTCTTGAGAGTGAATTGATCTGGAACTTCTCTGATCGCTATCCAGCGTCATAGTCGAGATTGCGCGAGAGATGGTTTCTGGCGGGGGTACGAAACGATAAGGATCGGGGATACCAGATTCGCGAGCAAGCAGCGCCACCTCGGCGTCGAGATGGTCCTCATTCTGATTCATAGGCAGACCCAAGGCTTCGGCCAGATATATAGCATCGTCGAATATGGGAGCCGTGCCGAGCGCAACGGTTTCGTCCCATATGCGGTCAGGCATTGCGCCGGAGCGCGCATGCACTTGGCTGTTGACTGATGTCAAGAGGTCGCTACCAAGACATGCGAGCGGCGCAAGGGTTGTCTCTTCTTGCGCAGGACAGGCGGCACCGTTGGGAGGGCGGCACACAAGCTTGGGCGACTAACAGAGGGGTGCAGCAAACAGAGGGCGGGTCAGGTGTCGAGGACGCACGACGGTGTGAGAACCTTGGAAGTGTGGTTGACATACGGATGGAAGGAGTGGGCGCTAGAGCATGGAAGACGGGCGCCCACACGCCCACTCTGCAGCAGGTGGATCATCTGCTGATGCTGCATTCAGCATGTCGCCTGCAAGCCATCCCACCCGCCAAACGCCGATATGACATCTGTCCATGGCCCGCTAATGAGTTTGCGCGCGCCCGTCGAACGCGGCTATCCGACCGACGTTGCGCCGTCCTTTTCGTCATGTCGCACTTTACATGTTTCGCGCCGCCAATCAGGCCCGCTTAGTGACGACCTAAGTACCGTTGATATCACTTCGGCTGTCATGGCGGTGACGTGCATAGTTCGGCGCCTGTCAGTTCTCCATCTACGACTCGTAGTGGTGTAGCCGGAATACTGTGCCGGGAGCCCACTAGGTGGTTGGAGGATAGCTTCGGCATTGCCGCTTAGTTGCCATGATTTCCGATGTTCTGATGTTCCACCTAGGTGGTAGCCGTCCGTGTCGGGGTCATCCTGGAGCATGTGAAAATGATAATTCGGTTGCGACGTTGGTGATACTGCGCAGGGGCTATCGAGAATAAGAAGCGGTCGGGTACGCACAACTGTACAATTTGGTTTCAGCCTGTAGTCGTCGATCACACGGCCGCCTTGATGACGCAGGTGGTGGTCGTTGGCGTATGCTCCACCTGCATGTACGAATTTGACCCAGAGTACACGCATTTGTATTGCAAGCTTCGTGATGGGCACTACTCTACTGTCCTAAGCGACTACCAAATCGCATGTTGTACATATGCAGCCAAGGCACGCAAGCAAATATGGTACAGTACACAACAGACATGGACCGAGCTACCGGGAAGCCTTCCACACCCCAGCAAATCGTCCTGATGTCGTAAGTGAAAAGACGAGTTGAATTCATTAATAGTAGCTTATAACGGCTCGCTCATATGACGTAATGGTGATCATAAGCCAGGCCCAAAAGTGAAACATGCGACAAAAAAAATATATATAGATACATGTGAGAAGTGCGCAGCCTCGTATGCAATGGCTGCTCGTCTAGTTCGATGCCAGACCGAGCTGGTAGAAACGCCTGAAAATGCCGTAACCATGAAGCGCAAATCTACCCAGAGATAAGGACCCAAAGCAAGAAAACTAAGACTTGTTAGTGTGTTGTCAATGTACGAGTGTGCGGGTATACGTACAAATCATCAGCACACCAAACATCTTTGCGACAAGCCACCTGTTGCCTTGCACGCGGCTCCAGTACTTCATCAGCTCACGCTGGGCACCCTCGACGTTGTCTACAACGTCTTCGGTGTTGGCATCAATGCGCTGGATTTGTTCTCCTTGTTCGGACACCATCTGGGCGAGCTGGCTGAAGATGCCTCCTAGTTCTTGAATAGTAGACTCTATCGACTCAATTGCTCGCCCTCTCTCTTGGATGTATGCGTTCTGGGGCTGGGCCTCTTCCATGAGCAGTAGTTGTGCGTCCGATTGCGGTGCGCCTCGCGTCAGAGCTGACGACCCAGAAGGTTCGAGCGAGAGCAGGTCTTGCTGCGCTGCATTGGTATTCCGGGCGAAGCCTCCTGGTGATCGACCCCGCTGGGGTGTTTGGTAAAGTGGAGAATCTGTCCGGCCTGGCTCGAGGTTGCTGTGGGATTGCTGCGCAGCTGTTGACAGGAATTGCTCCGTGCGGGATCGCGATGCCTGCATGTTCTTTGTTCGCACCTCCAATACGTCCTTGAAGTTGGTCCCCACGTTGGTTAGTTTGTCGGACAACAGCTTGACGACTTGGCCGTTGTGCTCTCCTTCTTGGTCCACACCGGGTTTCGCCTTGGGGTGTTGCTTCGAGTTCATCTGCTGCAGTGCCCGCACCTGGCCTGACAGTGCAGTCATGTCCTGCTTGATGACAAAGGTGAGCTCGTCAAACTCGACTGGCCGATCGTCAAACAGCGTCTTGCGCTTGGCCAGCTGTGAAAGGCGCTCGAGCTTCTGCATGGTGCTCGCAACACCCCGCGCGACGTCGGCCGCATTGCGCGCAAATTCAGAGCGCTGACGCCGGGGGTTGACATCTGCTTGTGTCTTATCTTGTGCTGTGAGGAGCGACTGCCGTTGCGCGCCCGTCTTGGATTGCGCTTGCCGCCGACGAGCCTGTGCAAGAATAGAGCGGAACTCGTCGGTGCGGTCCTGTATCGACACAGCCATGTTGACGATTCGTTGTGGTGGGAGGGAGGGCGAGGGCGGAAAAGGGGAGGCGCACCACCTGTGGGCAGGACAGCAGGCGCTGCGGATGCACAGGGGACGTGGAAGTTGCGCCGAGGCGGGTGGCAGATTCGCGTGCAGTCGCGGATTTGCTCAGGCCCCGTTTGCTCGAGGATTCAAGGCAACTACGGGCGAGATGCAATTGTGAGGTGATGGCGCGCGACACGCGGTTCGTAGACGGGGCGTGCGAGAGCTGGCGGCGGCGGCGGCGGCGGGGTTTGGCCTGGAGGAGTGACGAGAGACGCGGGATGCAGTCGTGCGCGGCGGTGGATCGGAAGCGGCGTGTTCCTGGCGAGTCGGGCAGAGAAAAGCGGAATGTGTTGAGGGTCGGGGCGAAATGGGGAATGGGGAAACGTAGTTAGTTTCGCGTCGGCCAAACTTGGACGCCCTGCGCCACACCTCGACGGCGCCGGCGATGACCAGCAGTGGCGCTATACTGGCCGTAGACCCGTCAGACCGCGCGGAGCAGCTGCGTCAAGGGGAGTTGATTGCTAGCTCTCCTTACTCCTCCACCGCGTCCTCTGCGCCCATCCTCGCCTGCCCAGCTGCTCCCGTCGAGTGCGTCGTTGTCGTGATCACGTCGGGCCTTTCGCACGCGCAGGCAGGTGACGTATCCCCCGGAAGCTTGGTCGAGCCCTCATCAACCCTCCCGCCCGGCTCCAGCCACGCTGTCTATCACCACTCCGGCCACCTGCACCACCACTGCCTCGCTCCCCCGGCCCCCACCGTTGTCGCAGACTCCATCTCGGCAGGCTGCCCCTCGTGTCTCCCGGTTGCATGCGCTGCAGGACATAGCTGGCGTTGGGCTCGGCCCTAGTAGAGCGAGAGCGGTGCATCCTAGCCATCTCCGGACCCTCCTACGCCATCATGTCTGGCCCCTTCCGCTTCCAGCAAGAGGAAGCCAGGTCGCCGCTGTACGTACCACCTCTGCACGCGCATGTCGCCTGCTGTCCTGAACTGACTCGTGTTAGCGATCGGACCGCGTCGCCCTTCTCCGCCGGCCAGCCTGTGTCGTTCAAGACCAATGTCAACCGTGCCAAAACGAAGAAATGGGTCCAGGCGAAGAAGAACGCCTACGACGGCGACGATTGGGGCGGCTACGACGAGTACGACGAATACGGCGTCAACCAGGAGCCCGAGCAGCCACAGCCTCTGGCGCAACGATACTATGCCCAGCGGACGGAGCAACCATCGCGCAGCTTCACCGACCCCTCCCAGCAGGCGCCCCTCCCACGACCCCGAAGAAATTCCTTCGAGCACGGCGAGGAACAGCGCGCCTTCTCCTCAACAATACCGCAACCCCAACATGGACACGGCCACGAGCATGAGCAGGGCTACTCTGCCATGCCCCCGCCTCTCCAGACTCGCATATCGCAGGTCCCTGCCGATTTCACCCCGCCGCTCAACACACAGTTTCCCCCGCGCAAGAGTAGCATAGGCCAGGGAGACATGCCAATGTCTACTTCGCCACGATCACGCAATGGCAGTCAGGCATCTGACAAGCCGCTACCCTTCATCAGACCAGCCGACATCTACAAGCGGCACCAAGAGGAGCGGGAGCGGGCGTCAATGGAATCATCGCGACCAAGCCTGGACTCTCTTTCTTCTCCGATACAGGACAACGTGCTCTCTGCTCAAGAAGGCGGGCGATCGCTGCAGCCTATGGAAACCGTCGCTGAGCGCAAGAGCGAGTATCTGCCTGATTATGATGCAGCAGCCCCGCACGACAAACAACAACCCCAGCAAAATCAATCCCTTGCGTCACCACAGGATGACAAGGGTCTGCGCTCTGTTGTTGATCAGGCATTTACTCGCGCTGACGAATCGCGTTCCGTTCCGCCAACGCCCATATCAAATGACAACGATTCAACTTCAGACCTTCTGAGGAGCAATACTGGAAGCACTTCCGGAATCAGCCCAATCATGAGCCGCGTGCCCAGTTCAGCAGCCTCAGCACTGAGAAACCGTGATCAAGCAGAAAGCACCACACCCGCCATCGCAGAAGAACCAAGTGAAGTCACGACGCCCGTTACCCAGCCAACCTCTGCGAAGATCGTCGAGCCCATACACCACGTTCCACGAAAACCGTCCCCGGGTCACAATCGCAACTTCTCCAACTCTTCCCTACCGCGCAGCGGCCTCGCTACGCCCACACGCGGTGACAGTCCTGCACGATCCCCTATCTTAGCACCGAGCAGAGACGTACCCGAACCCTCCTCCGCCCTTGTTACGATGGAAAGCAACGAAACTCCGGGCGCAATGGAAGGCGGCCTTAATGGTCCATCCCCTGCATATGCTACTCGCGAGGCTGATATTGCTACTGCTGTCAGGGATGGTCCAGACAATGGCGCACCCGGACTGGGCGCTTCAGAGCTTCAATCACAGAACAACTTCCTCGAGTCGCATAACGCGCAAAGCCCTCTCGATGATGGCTTGCCGCGCGATCGCTCAGAGTCTCCAAGCAAGGGTCGTGTGCAGGCGTTGGCTGGCAAATTTGGAGAGGTGGCATCGTCGAGACGTGGCTCTACACAGTCCAATCGCTCGAGGAACAGTGTTCAATCGTGGGAACGGAGCAACGATAATTCACGTGCGGCGTCTCCAACGAAAGCTAGCCCTTCGAAACCCAGCAGTCCTGTCAAAGAATTTCGTCCCCATCTTCCAGGCCAGTGGGAGTCTTATGCTACTACCGCTATGACACCTTCGGATCCGGGCGAGCAAGACCGTCGATTGAGTTTCGCGAACAATGGTCCGAGTGCGCTCAACAGATCCGATCTGACGGCTACAACAGATAAGAAGCCACTTGCCGGGGCATTGTCGGCAGAGACGGACACTCCGGATCCGCTCGCCGCTCTTAGAGATGCTGGAGCTGCAATGGTCAATTCTATCCGCACAACCTTGGGTGCCGATGACCAAACATCCGAGACTCAACAGCAGCAAGCACGTCGTACTGACCACGGAAATATCTATTTACCAAGGCCTCTTCAGCTAGATCGTACTGGCACTTCCGGCTCAAGCGTGCCGCCAACTCCTCCCGCGAAAGACACCCCGGAATCAGAATTTCCGCCACCCCCGCCTTTGAAAGAGAGGCCCTCACAGCCCTTCAAGAGTCAGCCTAAACGGCCGAGTCTTGATCCTCAGTTAAGTACTGACCCTTCTGCTGAAGACCAGGAAAGTGACCGTCTTCGCAAGGAGATTGTCGCCAGTCTCAGCCCTTTCAAGGCTCCAGCGTCGCCGGCCAGCGAGTCTAATCAAGCCTCGCTCCACCCCGCCAGCCCAGGCACAAATCGTGCTAGCTCTATTCTGCCCAGTGAGTATGATACCTACTGGGCAGATGAAGATCGGGCTTCTCGTCGATCTTCGCAGGATACTGAGCGCTATGCTCAAGATCAGCCATCCGATGCGGCCATGTCTTTTCTCCCACAATCGGAAGAACCGACCAAGCCTGTGATACTCAATCGATTTAGCTGGGAGGCAAGCAACCCGCAATCGCAAACACCAGACCAGCAAGCGCAGGGTGTAGCCGCTGTTGAGCCTACAAAAGCCTCACAGGCAACGGAGAGTCGCCTTCCCACTGTGGAACGAGCTGCAGATCAAGAACGACAGGAGTGGTCAGAAGGCCTTCCAGACTCGTACTTTGGCCCAGAGCACACTTTCACGGTCACTAAACCTGACCCTAGTAGTAGCAGTGATATGCCGCAACGATCTGCTTCTCCAACCGTCGATACTGCGCGCTCCGTAACTAGCCCTGCTCGAGAAGAAACACGCTCCCCGGGACTTCATGTTGTCAACACAGAGCTCAATCCCGAAGCCGTGGATCTCCCACCACGTTTCAGTGCGGAGCATGAGCAGACTTCGGGACTCGGAGGATCCAGCTTGAACGAGAAGCAACAGATAGAGCAGCCTGCGGAACATCCCGCAATTGTACCATCTGACGACGAGCCGAAAACACCCATTGCCGTACAGGAGGAGCCTTCGCCGAAGTCGCCAATTACGGACAAGCCTCTGGGCGCTCGGGAAATAGCAACGCTTAACACTGCTGCTGAGCGAATTGACACCTACAACAAGACACGCGAGTACTGGGCGACAGTTGATCATGGCCTTAATGACTGGCTACGCTCTGCGCTCGAAGCAAACCCCGAGCTGGCTACGCAGACGTACCCAGTACAGCGTGTGCCTACAAGCTCGGCACGTCACAGGCACACTGGCTCTCTTGCACTGTTTGGCAAGCTTGGTGGTTCGAGTAGCTACGACGTGAGCGCCGACCAAAATAACAATGCTAGCGTACCAGTCCCCGCGAGCTCAGACTCTCCCACTAATCCTGCATCATCTGGTTCAGGATTTGGCGGACGAATTGCAAATCAGCAGATGCAATTGAAAGGCAAGGACTTGCTTCATACTGCTAATGTGTTAGGAGGGAAAGGCATGACCAGTGCCAAGGGATTGTTTGCGAAAGGCAAGAGCCGTTTCGGCCGCGAAAAGGTAGATAAATGATCTCTTCTACCCATTTTCTTTGCTTGGCATTCTCATCGTATGTCACGACTACCATTTTCCTTGGTCCATGGACTACAGCGGGTGATTGGATGTAATCGTATGGACATTGAATGTGGCGTTTCTGACCTTGCTTTGGGCGTTTTCATTCTTTCGCCATCTACGATCGTAGTCCTCGCCTGTAGCTTCATAATCATCTCAACGTAATGCCAAGTCTGACTGAGGCGGCTCAGCTTCCTTACGACGGTGTTGTTTGCTGATGTGATGCGTGATTCAGACCTCCTCGTATAACCGGGCCGACTCTGCTCCTTCTTCGCGCGAAGCTTCTCAAGAGCCCGAGCTCGTTACACGAAGATCGAGAGCATCGTCAGGAGTGCAACTGCTACGCTCCATGACGGAAAAGGAAAAGAAGGAGGAAGTCTCGAACGAAGAGAAGAAGAAGCGTCGATTTTCATTCTCGTCCCAATTTCGGCGTGCCAGTCGCTCCAGAACCAGACCGAGTAGTGTGGCGCTGCCGAAAACTACTCCATCCGTCCTTGACTCGACACCTAAGACCTCGCCTCCCCGCGAGCTCCATCACTACCTGATGGGGGAACGTCGGCCGCATTCTTTCCATGCTCCAGACTCTTGGGTCGGCACTCCACCGGCTGCTCTCAACGAGTACTTCAATACTACAGCGATGCGAAGAAGCTCTTCGCAGGCGCATTTGGGCATATTGCCGTCGCCAGCAAAGAGTGCCTTTTCAAATCAGGACAAGGACGCTGAAGACTATGTTCCTCCCGTTCCACCCATTCCAAACGAGGTTGCCATCAAGCATTATCGACGTAGGTCTAGTCAGGACAGTGCCAGCCATCGGATGTTGCAATCTGTTATTCGGCATTCAACCCCTCCTGTTGTTTTCAACAGACATTCGATGCCAGCAGCAATTACGAGAGATCCAAAAAGCCTCGATTATCACCCAGTTTTTGCTGACGACAATAACATCTCTGGTGCGCAAGAAAGAGCGAATGACTATAAGACAATGCTTCGTGCCCCAGAGGGATCTTTCCAACCAGACCTACCTACAGCAGAATCTGATGATCTCCGACGCGATGGGTTTCAATTCGGGTTCAGTGACGAATCGCCAAAGAGGGTCAGAGATGATCGCATCGATGACGACGATCAACCGCCACAGTTGAATCACGATCCATTACCAACATCCTTGCGACATGGCCAGCAACCGCCGCCTATGTACACTAACAGACACATGGATGTGAGCGATGAAGACAGCGACAGGGAGCTTGTTCGTGGAAGAAGCTTGGCACCAGTGACAGCACTGAATGCGAAACAGGAATCTGACAGTGTCAGCCCTGTACTAGCTCCTGTGGGCAAATCTGCCAGTACTACATCAGATAAGGACGGGGATGTGGGGGATGTCGAGCGCGATGACCGAATGCGTGGAGCCCGGGTCATCAGGTATGAAGACACACCCTTTGTGCTGGCGCGACAGTCACCAGACAATGTCGCTGCTATAGAATGGCCGTCTATGAATCCTCTCAGTACCCTAAGTTCGAAAGAAAGGCCCCGGGAGTCTGCAGAACACTCGTTCCTGGACATCGGACACGAGACGTTTGTTTACGGCAGCGCTTCGGTTCCGCAGCACCACACAGTCAACGAGCTCGCCAGCGCAGAACAAACGATCCGCCACGGAGAACGTGCATCTAATGTTGAATCGCCTACTCTCGGTCTTCTTGATGATGCCTTTCGTACTGGCAAAGTCTGGCGAGTATCGTCGCTCGAAGCTAGTGTACCTGTATCCGAGGCGCCTTTTGATGTCAAAGACGACGAGGGCATGTCGAGAGATGAAAAGGCGGATGCGGAACGCGCTTTCAGTCCTGTGTGGTTTGCTAAGAGTGACTTGCAGCTTCCGACAAGCACTCGGGATCTCGGGAATGCAGATGGAAGCGCAGAAATCCGCGCGACAACATCTGGAGAAGAACGCGACGCGGACGCAGGCAGTCGAGTAATGGCCGTTGGCGCGATTGCAGCCCCAGCCCAGCAGGAGATACGAAGACATGGGGACCAGGAGCCTTCGCTTAGCCATACCCTTGCGGGGGCCAGTGCTGCGGCGGCTGACAGCGACACCTCGACGCGCTCCGCGCCGCCCTCCTTAGTTGTCGACGCCGCTGAAAAGCATACCGCCTCCGGATCACTTAGTCCATCATGGGGCCGCGGACACAGCATCATTGATCCACGCGTGGCTGAGCGCGCTTCCGATGAGATGGGGGACGAAAGCAACCTCGTCACGCCCGCCGGGCAGGTTCCGCGCATTACCACCCAGAACGGTCCGGAGACACCCAAGGCTGGACAACCGTACAGCGAGCATTCACGTCCCGCCATGTCAAACAGCCACTCCCATGGCCAGGCCAGCTTTCCGGACTTCAAGCACCAAGCACAGCAACTGCAGGTTTTAAATAGCGCTACGGCGGCTCCAGAACGGTCAAGATCCATGCTCTCGCAGATATCTGCCATGGTTTCTGACGAGGGAAGCAACCCTTACTCTCAAACATCTACTGGAAGATCAACCCCGTCAACAATTCGTCGCATGCAGCCAGAGTCCACCGTGAAGCCTTCGGCAGTCCCACCACAGATTCCAGAGGAGATTTTGATGTCGTATGGTGGAGACGATGGTTTTGATCTTTACGCAGATCATAACGGAGTCGTCAAGGATGTGCAAGACGAGCATGGCCAGCCTTTGCGACTTGGACATCTCCAGGTGCGAGGGGCAACTACCCAACAACAACCATCACAGCCTTCAACTTCCGGTATTGCGACAGCGCCATCATCTCGCGATGGTGATCGCCCAAGATACAGTTTTGAAAGGCCAATGAGCTTCGTCTCAGGACCTGAAGACCAAGACGGCAAACCTCAAGATCAGATCAACCAGACCGCATCTGCAAATGCAACGCAATCTTCCCCTGTCGCTATGCAGCATCGTAATCAGTCCCAGCAATCACTACACATGGACACAGTGTACTTACCGAACCCGCCAGCAAACGTCGTACCGCCCTCGGATCGGAGCGCATTGAGGCACCAGCCAATGCTTGCATCTGGCCCATCTCCATCCAAGAATATCTTCCAGGCGGTAAAGTCAATCGATCCCAGTAACAAAACCACTCAGATTACCGTCAGTTCTTGGCGTCCTGCGGGCCATCAAGCTTCCCAGCAAGCAGTTTCCGGAAGTCCTGATCTTAACTGTCAGTTACCACAGGCCACTCAAGCTTCGGGTCGGGTTCCGCTAGCAGAACAAGAGAGGCCAGCAATTTCGGGGCCGCAGAGCAACCCGAATCGCGCACAAGGGCAGATGGAATCTCATGGACCGAGAAATCAATTTGAACTGCAACAGCAATTGTTGCAGAGGCAAGGGCAATACCAAGTTGCCGCGTTTAGATCACCCGCCAATTCTTCGTCTCAACCTGCCGAGCAAACATCAAGAAACCAGGAGAAGTCATCTTCGAAACCTCGGCTTACATCAATGTTCAAGAGCTTTGGTGGTAAGACACAGGCGAACCTCCAGCATACGACCAACTCTGGCAATACAGCCATAATCTCCCAGTCCAAGCCACTTCCGCCGGATCCTAGTTCTGGTACTCCGCTTCACTCTGTAATGGACAGATTTATGCGCCCTAGGGAGGCATCGGCAGAAAAGCTTATCGACCAGCAACATTCTTTTCTGCCGCATAGTCGCCCAAACATGGGCCAGCCACCGGATTTTGGGCAGGCTTCGTTACAGGTACATTCGGTAGAACCGCGTGTCGATTCGAGAGCGCGCATTGCATCCGACCTTCCCAACGACTTTTCATCCCAGCAGCCACCGTCAATATTCAATGTTCAAGTCCAGGCCCATCAAGTATCATACTCGAAAAGACCAGAATCTGGCAAGAAGAAGAGATTTTCTGCGTTGGGCGCTCTGTTCATTCGAGGTGGTGTGAATGGTGATGGATCGGCTATGAAATACAAGATGTCAAAAGAAGGAAAGAAGGCACAGAAGAGTATACAGGCGATCGCTACTCCAGCTACTCCCAACGCCTCTCATAGAGTACCTCAGCATCAGCAGAATAAGCCACAGCAGTCTGGGTTAGCATACTATCCTCCCGGACAACTTCCGCCTCATACCATACAAAGTAGGCCACCCCTGGGTCAAAAGCTTGGGCCATCGCAACCAGCACCCAACATGCATCCTCAAAAGCTACCTCAGCCGTATCAGCAACAGACGCAGCAAGTTCTGTCATCACGAGAGCCAATCTCTAGTTTGCATTCAGAGGAAGCGTCTGCATTCCTTAAAACAAAGCAGCTAGCGATGGAACACCAAGCTCGGCAAAGCAGCTTACAATTGAATCAATCCCAAGCTTCCAATCCTGGGATTGAAGCACAGCCCTCTAGTGCACCATTCCAGAACACTCTTGCACACACGCGAGATCAAGATTCGGATCCACCTCCTGGAGGATACTATAATCATCGTGCTGAGCCAGCTCCAGCTGGGAGTGGAGCCTACGCAGCTTCTTTAGCCGCGCGGGAACAGGTAGATCAACGTAATCAACAGCAAACAGCTCACCAAGGAGTTTATACGGTCCCACAGGCTGAGCGACAGCAGCAACCCCCCAAAAAACAGCAGTCTGAGTACGAGCAGAGTGTTCAGAGGGACCATCAATATGAGCAACAACTAGAAGAACAAGCACACCCCGAGATATCCCAGGACCACCTCGCCCATCAAACCTGGCGAGCACAACGGGAGGAACTACTACGACAGGAGCGATCTGCACCAGAGCACAATAGGCCATGGCCGAACGACGATGCGTGGGTGCAACGACCGCGTCAGCAGCAACAACACCAATCTTTGGTAGAGTTGCGACCGAACGACTATCAACCTCAGCTTCCATACCACAATGCGCACGACTCAAGACCTCTTTTTGCTTCTCAAGATGATGAGCCGATATCTCCACCTGCAGTGTCCCCTACGCAAGAGCCGAGGTATGACGCACCTCCAATACCTGCGGCATATAGTCATGTATCTGGGGCATTTGTATCGCCGCTTGATCGGCAACAGCAGTCGTTGTCACTCAGTCAGACGGATGCGCTCGTGCAACTTTCAGTGGATCAACACAATCGTCCGCTTTCGGAGCCAATAATGCAGGCTGTGTCGCCGCAAGTGTCTGCACACTCACAAGTACCTCCAAACGGTCGAATGCACTCGGATGCTAGCACAATGTCCCTCGTGTCGCCAATATCAAACTCTCCAGCAATGCCTAGCTACTCTCCAGCCCCTAGTGGCCAACGGTACCAGAAGCCAAGAATGAGCAGCATATCAGAAGTACATCAGCAGGATCTTCCATGGCATCTCGACTTCCCAGCGGGAGCAACCGAACAAGACATTGTTCGAGCACGACAGGGACAATACATGCAAGAACGCTTTACCGCCCAACAACAACAGCAGGACGAGAGAGCTGCCGGATCACCATCGCCTCGTTTATCGCCCGAGCAGACTACGCTAAATACTGTACCTCCACATGCTCAAGCACACGGCGGTGGATTCAGGGAAATTCTGCCGCGAAGTTTCACGCAGCCCTATGCGACCTCGCAGGCAGCACGATCAAGTCAAAATCTTCAGCCCATTATCCGCCGCGACGCGACACCTGTACAACCAACACCGATACATCCGGGACAATCCCCGCCACCCGCTGCGTATCCTCTGCCCATGTCTCCCGACCCCACGGTGATCAATAGTCCCCAGAATTTCATTGCAAGCGGATTTGCCCCACCTCCACCACCAAAAATAGCCCATAGTCCTATGCGACCCGGACTTTCTAACGCCCAGCCTTTTTCATTTGAGGGTCAACGGCCGCATTCCCATAGCCCATCGTCGCCAAACTACGTCTATGCCTCGTCACACGGGAATGGATCCCAGTATGATGTGAAAGCTCAAAATGAAGCCCCACCATCATATGACGGTCCTGGTGTGCCTAATAGTGGTCTAGATAAGAGTCGCCCCGAAGGACTTCGACCGCTCAATATCACAACGGATCTAGACGGTGAACCGCGTGATAGACAACCAGATTCTCGTCCACGTCAACCCTCGATTGGTATCCTGCAGCATCCACAACCCGCCTCAATGGCTGCTTCACCTCAACGCACATCACCAGACATGGGTGCGGAGTCGTTACGTCGCCAGCTCCTACAGCAAGAGAATCTCGCCCACATGGAACGCGTCCAGCGCGAAAAGGAGAAGCGCGAGAGACATGAACGCGATAGGCAGGAACGCGAGGCTGCAAGAGCAAGAGCAAGAGAGCTTGAGCGCAGCGCGTCTGGTGGCGGGCAGGTTGGCAGCCTGAGAAGCATTGGCGGCAGCACTACCGGAGGAGCTTCAACCTGGGAGAGACGTGGGAGTCACAGCAATAGCAGACAGGTATTTGAGCTGCCTGCCGTGGAAGATGACGAGCCCACTATGAAGGCGACTAGTTATCCTGGACAGGAGTGGGTACCTCCCATGTGGGATGGTGACTGAGCTCCAGTCTTTAGCTCGCCCTTTTTCCTTGTGATCATCCCAAATTTGGTTCATTCGCGCTAATTCCCCCCGTTAATATATTCGACGCGAAGTGATAGGGTCGCACATTTCCTTCTGTGAATATCTCACGTCATTGCATCTTGGTTGATCTACGCGTTTTGAGCGAAATTCGGATACCCTCATCGTTTTTCCTGGTATACATTGGACAGTCTCGGTCTTCATCTTCTTTTTTCGTCCAGCTTTGTTTCTACTTCTGTAAATTGTGGGTAATAGTAGATAAACCTTTTTACCTAGCGCAGTGCAGCGCCAGTTCCGCACTACACATCCCTTACAACATCGATTTAATTCACTATCTGCTCGGCAAGACAACGTATCCAATTTCTTCCACAGTTCGGACCTCATGGGGAGTCAAACTCGTTGCCAACACCAAGATCTCTGTACCGTGATCCTTAGGGGCCCACCTCTGACAGTGAGAGAAGAGCAGAATATTACCAATCCAGACACAAACATTTGCTCAAGCGACAAAGACGTAAGAGCTGCAACACACCATCTCGAACGTTTCGAACTTCGCGATCTGGCCGGGTTTTAGAGAGGCAAACACTAGCGGCGCCCAAACACTGTCAACGCATACCTACCTCAAACTTTTCACTCGTGTCTGGACAACGCTATGCGAGTATTGTGTGCGACGTCGTCTATACCAAGAGCATTGGAATCCCCTTCGCCCACTACCGATGGAGCCTTTTCCGCCGACGCTTGGTCTTTCTAACGGTACAGCTCACTCCTCTTTTCATCAGTCATTCTACTCAACTCCGATAAACCACCCGTACGAGAACCTCTAGAAATAGCAGACGGAAACCATTCAATTAGAACGCCACAATGTTCCGCAAGATATTCTCTGTACGAATAATGCGTCAACGCATAACACCTAGCGCCCAACCCACTTCGCGATTCGACAGTCTCCGTCCAAATACTCTCGACGCTGTCGAGGCTTCAAACGCTGAAACCGAAGAAGGTTTCGGCTTCATAGTCACCTACTCAACTTCGACCCGTGCTCAACGCGTCCCCCTTCTTTTCCGCTATGCAGCGGGATGGTAACGACAATGCCTACAGTGTTGGAATCCACGTCTCAAAAAAATGACATGAAGGAGACTATGAAGGATAGTAAGAGAGAGAAAGAGGAGGGTGTGGAGGAAGTAGCCTTCAAACCATGGCCATACTCCCTCCCGTCATGGCTTCGACCAAAAGCTAGTACAACCTTTTCACTCATGAGCGACAGGACCCTTCCGATTTCTGCTGTAGTAAATTTTGAGCGCACAGGCGTTCTACAATTCATTCTCTACGGTATCCCGAATCCAGAACGCTTCTCTTACAGCCAGGAACTAGTGGCGCCGGGTAGTCTTTTGCGTAAGGTTCTCCATGGGATCAAGGAGATGGATGAGTGTGAGGGTACTGTTACTAGTGTTACCGCTATCGAAAGTGAGAACGTAGACTTGTGCGAGGAGAAAATCAAGGAGGAAGAAGATGAGGCCATAGTGGTGAAGGGTATGCAGAGCAAGGTTACAGTGGAAGATGTGCTGGAGAAGAATGATCATATGGGGCATGGGATGATAGCGAAGTAGCGCTTAGCTCCTTCTCAGAATTTAACTCATAATAAGCACAGTGCATGTAAATAAGGATGAGGACGAATACTTGCAGCCTAAAGCTGATATAAAACTCAGATCGAATCTAAGCAACGTTCGTTACTGCATGTGTCTACTGACTTGTATGTGTGCAAAGAAAAGTGACTAGGCAGCTCCTAGACAATAAGTGTACGACACATTACACTAAGTTTTTAAACGATGTATCAGATAGCCATTAACGTTAAGATAAATTTCCCATTCTTAGCGCATGTGTCTTTTGCTTAATATGTGTTAATTTCCTTCTATTCTAAGTCATATAGAGTGTGATACTAGTTCTAGTTAGAACTATTATGTTTGCTCTATACATGTATCTGTCCTAGACACGATGGCTTCTTTCTTATTCTATCTTTTGTGACACTACTTTACCTACCAACCTCAATTATCCTAAAGACATACAGATATTATGCAAGAGACTGACAAGCTCTCGGCTTCACTCACAGAAGGCACGGCTTAGCTGCATTAAGTCGGAGTCGGTCTCTGCAGCTCTCTTATCTCTCGCGCGTTAATCTTCCCCTCTAATAGAAGCTAACGTGAACACTAACATTTAAATTAACAGCACTAATTTTCACCCTGCTACTCTCCAGTGCCGAAGAACTTAGAAAAGGCGCAGGAGACCGACGACCGCTGCTTACTCCGGAAGCGAGAAACCCAGCATGTCTCCGAAGCTCCGTCAACTCGCGCCCAACCCTGTCCCTGCCAGTGTTCGTTATGTGCTAGCCAACTCTACTCCACCAAGCCAAAATGTTTCAATTCAACCCGACAACACTGCTATTGCGTCTGATACAGGCCCATCGAGCCAGACTGCCGAGAGACCCTCCACTTTACGCAAGAGGTCCACATACAAACCCATGTCCAAAACTCGCAAAAGAAGAAATGTCGCAAAAGATGCCTCCACAACACGTGAGTCGTCGGATAGTCCAGTTTGGCAATTGGAACGGTGACAGCCGGAGCGGTGAAAGACATGGAACCACACAAAGCGATGGATGAACTACTGAGCCAGTTTGACGAGCATCAGCTGGGTTGGCACCGACATAGCGGTTCGTATGGACTGGCTAGCATGCCCTACATTGAGAGGGGACTGCCAGTGACATGGGCATGTGTGAAAATTGCAAAGAGAAAACAGCAGATGAGGGACGGCGACCTCTAGGGAGGTGATTAGAAGCACGACTGGTATAGAGAGATATCATCGGAAAACATGAAGTCTACGACCGTAGGGGAAGCTACACAGTGGATGGAGCCGAACATGGGTTGAGTTGATGCGTGTTTGCGTAAAGATGACGTGCAAAAATGGGGCTATGAAGATTTTTTCTCTGGGGCAGCCTTTCTCCCTGGTTTCTTATGCTCAGTGTCGTAGATGATGACACCAAGAATACCAGCATTGACGAGGAAAAAGAGTATGCTCGAAGCCCAGAGTCCGGGAACAAAGGTCGAACAACCGTTGAACTCGAGTTGAAAGCCCTGCTGGAGCCAGGCAACTTGGCCCACAAGCCAGAGCAGAAGTGCTGTGATCCCAATGGGCGCTGAATGCAGGAGAGTCGAATCTGGAAGGTAGTATGGGAGAAACATCATGTACCAGAGGAAGTACTCGACAGAGTTAGTATTCATGCAAGACCGACAATCCACCGTATCGCTTACCTGGCTTGTGCAGACCTTGTTGAAGGTAACGAAGGCAAACGTCTGCGCTAACATTGTGTTTGGAAGATCCTTCTTCGCTAGCGCTAGTGGTATAAAGAAAGCACTGAGAAGCAGTTGCGGAAGGAATGCCAAACGCTCCAGTCCGGAAGATAATGTGGTCGGCTCCAAGTTCGTAGGCGTTGGGGACGATTTCAGGTAGAGGAGCGTATTATAAGGCGAAAAGTTGTGGCGGTGGTCCGTACGAGTCAGATGGTAAAAGTAACTGTGCTCGAGGAATGGCCATCCGTAAACCTTGTACATAAGCAGGTTCAAGCTCGCAAACGCAAGGAGACTGTAGAGTGCGAGATATATTCTCATGGGATTGAGAAAGTTGCGCGTTCTCTCGAGCAAGGAAGTCGATGGTTGCTGTCGGATATCTGCCCTTGTTGCGACTTGCGTATCATCGAGGAACCAGACAATAGAGGCTGCGTAGATGAACGGGTAGATTTTGAAGTGCACTGCGAACCCGAGCAAGAACCCAGTAAGTGCTCTTTGCTTTGCCAACACCGCCCAAAGCAATGCAGTTACGAATACTCCAAGCAGTCCCTCGGAGCTACCTCTTGTACTGATAGTGGCCACCATTGGATTCAGCAGCCAAATGCTGGCAAATTTGAGGGCTCGCTCATTGCTCATCTTCTTGTACTGTTTCAAGATACGAAACATCATCCACCCTGTAGCGACATCGCCGATGGCGAACAGGACCTTTCCGAACGAAAACCAGAATTGCCCAGACCATACAGTAGGGTAGATGAGCCACGCCAGGAGGGGCGTATAACGATACGTGTCCCGTGCGTAAGGGGACTGGCCGCGCGAGATGTAGCGCGCAGCATCCGTGAAGACATAATAGTCAATATCGGTGTATTTCACAGGTGAATTCGCATCCTGCCAGAGTCCGTATAACAGGAAGACAACTCTTAGGACGATTGACGTTGTGAAGACCAGTGGTGGACTGCGAAAGAAAAAGGAAAGAGCCATGTTGTCTCCGGCATTGCAAAAGCCAAGTTGACCAGACAAGACGCTGAAAAAAGCGAGCCCGATGATAGGAGGATCGGAGCTGATCTCGCTGGGTGGTGTGTTGATGAAACCCTACAGGATGGACTCTCCAGGAGTGAGGCCAACCGAAAGCGCCTTAGTCCGTAAACGCGATAGCGTCCACGTGAGGACGTGCACTAGCGGACAATCCCAGCGTTTGCCTGACGTTGAGTATAAGCTCACCATCCACGCAGATTCATGGGCCTCAAACGACCGAGAGACGCAGCAATGGCGGACGAGAAGCCAGAGCAATCTCCATCGCCCTTTGTGTCGATGTTTGAAGGCTTCCGCGCAGAGCTGGATGAACACCATGATCGACGAGAGAGAATCATCAAGGCGTCGCGTGACATCACCGCGTCGAGCAAGAAGATGTACTAGGCAATGTTCGAGGTTCTTGTGGCCGATTGCTAACAACTGTGCAGCATCTTCACTCTCCAGAGGTAGGTCTTCATGATGGCCTTACCAAACACACACTGACCTGACAAGGGTCCGCGCTGTTGGCCAAGCAGTACCACCATGGGTCACCAAGAAGAGTGCGGAGTACTGGGAGACGATTGAAGATCGCTACAAGAACATCGCCGCCGACCTTCAAGGCCTGAATGCCTACCGCTACTCGCACAACATCACGGGCGGCAATCAAGAGTTCATGGAAGCGCTTAGCTTCCAGCATTACCTTGAAACACAATCACTGATCTCGTACAATGAAGCCAAGGCCCGTATCGCTGCTATGAGCGGCGAAGCTGGACCTATCTCCTTTACGCCAGAAGACTACGTTCTCGGTGTCTGCGATATGACTGGCGAGCTGATGCGCTTCTCTGTCACGAGCATGGCGACAAACGGCAAACTTCCGTCTGGCAAGCAAGCAGAGGCGAACAAGAGGCTGAAGCAAGGTAATGGCCAAGACGATGCTGGCGACAAGATGGACATCGACGAGGAAGCATCAGCTGCGAATGAAAGCCAGAAGCCGCGGACTGTCTTGGATGACCTGAGGGCGATCCGGCTGCAGCTCGAGATGTTCGACGCACCGGGAGGGTCCAAGTTTGCAGCAGAGTTGGAGACGAAGAAGATGCCCGTGATGCGCGAGTGCGTGGACAAGGTAGAGAAGGGTCTCTATGGTTTGACTGTGCGTGGAAACGAGCGTCCCAAGGGCTGGATGCCAGACATGAGCAGTGCCAGGGAGGTAGAAAGTTACTGAGTCAGACTACCAAGGCGAATGAAATGTAAGATATCATTCCTGTGCAGTTGTTCCGGTGTGGCTGGGTGGGTGGCGCGGCGCACCCCACTTGGCGTGGGCATCATGGTGCGGTGATGCAGGCCCGAACTTCACACGCCCGTGTCGGTGACAGTGACACCAACGACTATGGTCTTCTGCACCATGCCCAAGACTGATGACCTCGCTCCCGCGCTTCGACTGGCCAGCGCAAATCTAATGCGCACACCCTGAAATCCTGCGTCGACATCCATGGCACGTACTGGCGCCCAACAACAAACCCGCACTTAGCCCTGCTCCAGCCGGAACCGTGGTTCACCAACCAAGCTGCCTACTACTCCCATCCGCGCACCGCCATAGCCGATCGCTACTACACCCTCACTACCCGCGGCTGCGAGCCACATCGGCGATTATCATGCGTCGCAGTACCTGCCCCTCGCGGCCTGGCAAGCCCGAGGCCGCCACGCGCGCCCCCGAGCCACCGAAGCGCAAGGTATTCAACTGCATCGTCGACGATACCGCTCTGATCGCCGGCGTCAAGAAGAGCACCCGCGATGGCATCCGCAAGTGGATCGCCCAGGACGCTATACGTCTTTATGTCCCGCTGCACAGTAGGCCATAGCATCGCAGCTTCCCTGTCCCCTTGACTAACGCACAACAAGCCCTTACCCAGCTCCACCGCCTCAAGAACGGCACTGAGCGCATCCACGCCGACGCCCGCGAAGCCGTCAAGTGGCTCGACGAAGTCACGTCCAATGAAGCCGCGAGCCGTGTCCAGCTCGAAGGCGTCGACGAAGCCTACACGACGTGGGGAGAGGTGGAGCACTTCCTGCTACCCGACACATTGCTCTCCATGGAGGATAGCGAGTCGGACGAGGACGACTACCACGAGGATCTCGAAAGCTCCTTCAACGCCCTCGACATGTCCGATGGCACATCCATCAGCTCTACCCACAGCTTCGAGAACGTGTCCAAGACTCCCGAGTCGCCTGGTTCGCGTTCGAGCACGGCGTCCGGGCCTGTC